ACCAACTCTGCTCAATGATCCTCCAATCACTGTGCCGTCTAGGTGTCAGCAAACACCAAGAGTAACAAGCACCCAACCAGCCCAACACGCTCAACTAGTGCCACAAGATGCAACAACACAATGCAATGCAATAGAGGCTCTCAATCTCACACACAAATGTGATCTCAAGTGACGAAGCGGAGTGGATTGCTTTCTATTGTTCATAGTATGATCTCTCAGCACTTAGGGGATCCAAGAGAGTGGCCATGGCCGGCCAAGGGGGCTATTTATAAGCCCCACCTTGAAATAGAGTCGTTACCCCTTTGGAGCAATTTCTACAAGGGCACTGGACAGGGCGGTGCCACACCGCCCTAGGGTGGCTGTGCCCTCCAGCTGTCGAATCCGTTGGCACAGTGCCTGGCACCGTGCATAGGGGGGCGGTGCCCACAACTGTGCCCGATCAAGTTTTCGTCGCCCTCGGGAAAAAGGAGCGGTGCCACCGCCCTAGGGTGGCGGTGCCCATCTTCTCCAACACCCAAAAAAACACTCTCTAGAAAAAAGGGGCGGTGCACCACCCTAGGGTGGTGGTGCCACCGCCCGAGCCATGGTGGTGTACAGCAGTCATGGCAGTGACTGGTGACTAGTTGCTGACACAGTTCCTAGCGTCGCCATAAGGGGCGGTGCACCACCATGGGGGGTGCCCCCACCAGAGGGGGGCGGTGCCACCCCTAGGGCAAGGTTGTAGAGCTTTTCATTAGCTTTCCAAAAATTCCAAGATCATCGAAATTAAAATTCGGAGCTAAAAGTTATGCCCAAAATATAAAAGGGTGTCGCTACAAGTTTGGTTGTTTTTCGACCCACGAACAACCCAAACTTGTCTCCGCAAGCGATGCTAACTCTCAAGATGTTTTCTCAAAACATGTTAGAGCCAAGTTAGCATTTTCAAAAACATTTTCCATAAATATTTTTCGCTTGCTCTCCAACGTGCACTAGGCCTACATGCAATGCAATGTATTCCAACACCTAGTGGCACTAGATGACTGAATTGTCTAATAGAGCTCCCATCTTAATAGTATGGCCATCTATCCTAAACCCGGTCACACTCTCTATAGTCTTTTGACCGGCAAAATAAAATCCCTATTTATACCTTTGCCTTGATCTCCATAGGGTTTTGTTTTTCTCTTTCTTCTTTTCAAAGTTGGAGCACTTGATCATCATTTTATGTGGCCATCTCCATCCTTGAGTGCCATCTAGCTCCATCACTTTGATTAGACCAACCTATCTCAACTTCACACTTAGAGCATAGGGTTAGTCCAAATAGGTTTAATCAATTATCCAAAACCAAACTAGGGCTTCCACTTGGGAGCAGGCAGCCCGCGACAGGACAACAATTTCTCCCATACAGTGACATCACGACTTCTCCCCGAAGAAGCAGAGCGCAAGGACGAAGACCACGACGACAGCAAGCAAGCCATACTGGGCAGGGGAGTTGGTGAGCGATCACCACTCCCATTGCGCCGCCATGGCCGGAACAGTACAGCCTCGTACGCCATGCCTTTGGCGTAAGGAGCAAGCTCAAGGCAACCATACCCCGACGCGACGACAAGACCAGAAGGACTGCTTAACAAGCATGCTAGCTTCTCCATCCCTCGGGCTCCTGGCCACTCGGGCTAAGAGAACCCTACTCTGCATGTAACCTGGCCCAGGCCTTCTTCCAAATGATCAGATTCTAGACGATCGATTTCCCCTTCCTCGAACTCTTCCTACCAATAGGACTGTAGCTTGCATACCCCCTGTTGTAAGCCTTTTGGAGCACTTTGGCATTGAGGAACACGTACTCACAGGTCTCTGGCACTGGACATAGGGCCTTGTCCCGAACCAGTATAAATTCTTTGTGCTCTGAGTGCTAGCCATCAAATGAATCCCTTGAGCAGTGTGACGATAAATTTACTGGTCGGTTCTCAAAGCACCGACAATGATCCTCTTTCTTCGTGAAACAAAAATGGAAAGAAAGAGGATAGATCGTTTCCAGTGGATTTTGAATATGCCTAATCTTGTGGTGCGGGATTGCAAAGGGTGCAGCGGTGGTTTAGCTTTATTTTGGAGGAGGGGTATGGAGGTTGCTGTTAAGAGTCTTTCAAAATATCATATTGACGCTCTTGTACAGGAAGAGGGTGGAGTAGAGTGGAGAATGACAGGGGTGTATGGAGAACAAAAAACAGAAGAAAAAGGAAGGACATGGCGTTTGTTTAGAATTCTAAACAATAAACGCAAATCCATGGTTATGCCTAAGGGATTTTTAATGAAATCCTGTTTGGATATGAGAAGGAAGTGGGGCAACCTGTATGGAGTGTTTTAGGAACACATTAGAAGATTGTAGGTTGCAGGACTTAGGCTTTGTGGGTGACCTGTTTACTTGGAGAAATCATCTTCATTGTGCAAAAAGTTATATCAAAGAAAGACTAGACCGTGATGTGGCAAATATGGAGTGGCGGAGCCTGTTCGCCCTGGTGAGAGTGGTAAATGGGGATCCCGACATTCAGACCATAGACCAATAATTGTTGAATGCAGAGAGAGGGAGCCAAATCAGGTTGGTCATAAGCAGGCTGCATGGCCCAAGTCTGAAGCAAAATGGTTAGAGGAGGATTGCATATGTCGCGTGGAGAAAGCTTGGACTGAGGCTATTGATGCGGGAGCTGTAACCTTGGTGGACATTCAAAGGAATATCCTAGGTGATCTTAAAGAGCGGGACAGGAATGTTCTTGGGGTGCTGGAAAAGAGAATTAGTAGACTAAAGAAGGAGCTGGAGATCTGTAGAAGAGCAACATTGTCCCAGGAAAATGTGAACGTGGAGCATGTGCTTAGATTCAAACTGGACAGATTGCAGGAACAATTGCACATTTACTGCAAGCATACTCGTTGTGGCTGACTAAAGGCCATAGAAACACGATGTTTTTTTTCATACATGTGCCTCAGAGCGTAAAAGAAGAAATTATATTAAGGCGTTCAAGGGGGAAGGAGGCGATGTGGTGGCGGGGAAGAGACTCACCTTTTATCACTAACCATTTTTGAAAAATCTTTTTTCATCTCATGTAGACGAAAGAATGGAAGAGGTACTTCAAGTGGCCGAGAGTCGGGTCTCTTCTTCTACGAATGAAATCTTACTTAATTCCTTCACAGGCGATGAGGTTGAGGAGGCTCTGAATAGTATTGGAGATCTGAAAGCCCTAGGTCCAGATGGTATACCCTCCATTTTTTGCTCAAACGCTTATGGGGGTTGATGGGGGATAAAGTGAAGGAGGAGGTGTTGGCTGTTTTGAATGGTAATCCTATGCCAGAAACATGGAATGATACCTTCATAGTTCTTATTCCAAAAGTTAAAAATCCTGATAAAGTTAAAGATCTCCAGCCTATTAGCTTATGTAATGTGCTATACAAATTGGTATCCAAGGTCCTTGATAATCGCCTTAAAAAAATCTTCCAGAGATCATTTCTCCTTCCTAGAGTGCTTTTATCCCAGGGTGCTTACTGACAATGTGCTATTGGTATATGAGTTGACACACCACTTAAGGAATAGAAGAAAAGGCAAAGAGGGCTGGTTGCCATTAAACCGGATATGAGTAAAGCATATGATCGGGTTGAGTGGATATTCCTAGAGAAAATCATGACTAAGATGGGATTTGCCACACGATGGGTTGATTTGATTATGAAGTGCGTGTCTAGTCACCTACAGAGTGAAGGTTAATGGCGATGATTCTGAACACATATGGCCACATCGAGGTCTTCGTCAAGGCGACCCTCTTCCTCCATATCTGTTTATTATATGTGCTGAAGGCCTATCGGCTCTTTTTAAGAGAGCAGAGAAGGGAGAATTGGAAGGAATTCAATTATTTTGAGGCGCTGAACGGGTCAGCCATCTTTTCTTCGCTGATGATACACTAGTACTTCTGAAGGCTACTGCATCAGGAGCTCGCACGCTACAGAATATTCTACAGCTGCATGAAGATGCCTCAGGCCACAAGATAAATAAGGACAAGACAACAATTATGTTCAGTCCTAATACAGAGATGCATGTCCAGAGACAGGAGATCACAGAATTGGGTGTTTCACAGCTAGCAAGCAACGAAAGAATATTTGGGGCTGCCAGTATATATCGGTAAATCAAAAAAAAATCAGGGAATCATTGGTCCCTGAAACTCCCCCCGTCATCTGTTTCCATTTCTGTTCACGTTACCGGGCAGGAAACCAAATGCCATCATAGCTTGATCGCAAGTTATCTGGTTCCCTACCTTTGTAGGAAATTTACAGAATACTCATCACCCTACACGGATGCAGAACTCTGGACATCAATTCTCTGATCAGTCAACTTATAACGCCATTACACCAGCATGCAACATGTTCCACACATAAAATATCCCCAACTAGGTGTTCCACTTCAACAGTAAAATTCAATAAATAACAGCCGACAAACTGTACAAGGGAATTACATGAACCTTGATGTCTGATATATATAACCGAAAGCCCTTGGTGTTACTGGCAATAGTTATTCAAAGAAAAAAAAAGACAGAGAACCAACAGTCCATGAAAATTCATATTGCAAAGAAAAAATTATCGATCTGACATTTTATTACCACAGGCAGGGCTTGTTTTGACAACAGGTATGACTAACTGCAAATTTCTTTAAACATTTAGTGTACACAACACAACTATGCCCTGAAACTTATCAAAGAATGGGTTTTGATTTGTATATATAAGGTTACAAGGGGCAAGGAGAGAAACAAACTATTGTACAAAGAATCCTATCCAGCTAGTTCAACTCAAGATGGCCCAGAACTCTACAGTTGTGTGTTAACAAGGAGACACCTCTAATCTTCCAATATAATGTACAGAATTTTCGATGGATTACCATGGTGGGTTTTCCTGCAGCCATGGTTGAGATGTTCAATGCTGCATTTTTGCGGCGATCTGTTGCCATTTCTCCGTAATTGAGAAGCTCAACACTGCACTTGACGAAAACTTAGTCATGATCCATCATCAGAAGGGGTTTCATGTGAAGGCTGGGGGTGCTGCAATCCATCCTCAGGCATGTCAAATTCAACCAATGGCTTCAATTGTTCTCCAACAGCATCTCGTTGGAGTTTCATCTCTTCAATAACCATACTCTCTGCAACCTTACAGGACTGCTCGTCACTAAAAGCAAGGGTCCATCTCCCGTCAACAAGATACTTCTTTGTCTTCGCTTTTTGTTTTTCAGTGTCCAAAAAAGGCACTGAAGAAGGTCGAATGCGTAGATGCAACCACTTCTCATGCTTCGTATCTATTCTTGGCTGAAAGAAAGCAAAACCAAGGATATCCCAATGAGATACGCCTGTGACAAATAAGTTTGTTTTGGTGCACCACAATTCATAGAATATGGTTGACTTCATATAACGACGACAACAAAGCAAAAAGAGCAATGAAACAGATTTTCCATGGCATCATGACACATACATCAGATCCTGCCAAAGGAGCCATGACACAGACAATTCCTCGTTCTTGCTTTAGAGGTAATTGTTCTAGAAGAAGAATCCAACCAGAAGTTCCGTGAGATATGGCCAAAAAGCAGAAGTGGCGTTCTTTGCCCCTCTCAAAGGCTATTCGACAAGGAACAGCGTCGACTGCAAGAATAACATGCCAGACAATTATGCTTTATCAAATCTAGAGGAACTAAGATAGCTTTGCATTTCATAATGCTAGCATAAAGATTTATAGGTAAACACAGACCTAAGTTGACCTCAAGCCCAGGTTTAGGCACTGAACCACCAAAATCTGCAGCATTTGCCCTAGTATTTACAGGCAAATCAACAGGAGGGTAAATAGGAGGTTGCTCTGTGAAAGTTTCTCCAAGGCAGAAGAGTATAACTTGATGCTGCAGCACAAAACCCTGAAAAATCACAATAATTCAGCGAACTTGCATAACTCATAGCTTCATCTACAAATTAAGCAGAGAAGTCCAATCAACGTAACGACGGAAAATCCAAAACAGAATATGCAGTTCAAAAAATTCACTTCATGACATTAAACCTCAAAAGCCATCATTAATGTTTCTTACGCAAGCATGCAAGCTAGAGGAAATACAGAATATTTGTCTAATCGAGGTACTGTAGCAGCAGCTCTGCTAAGGTAGTAACCTCCACTTGATCTGTTAGGACTTAGGAGGAAAAAAAAAATTCTAGCACAACTTATTGATGCTCACCACCAAACAAAGGAATGTTAACTGGAAATTTTAACTGGCGATCCTCCACCGAAAATAAAATTGAAGAATGCAAATGAAGACTGACAATTGATTTCAAAATAGTCTACTGAGGTAGAATGAGTATATTCCGGTGCACTCCTGCCATTCGCTTCGTTTCCTTAACCTCCCAACTCCTATGTGCATGAACTCAACAATATGTACACAACCATCTGTGGCCACCAATATCATGGCACCAGCAACCAGCTACCGCTGTTGTGTAGCAACCACCATGCCATCCCTGTTTTCTCTGCTACAACCAAGCCAGGGAGGCCCATGGGACACCGGCGTAGGCACCACTGCTGCCACATACTTTTGTTTTCCAAACACAGCTGCTTCCAAGCCATGTGTTCACATGAAACTGCCATGTTCTGGAGCTACCAGGATCAACGTGTGCTAGTGCCTGCTAACTGTGCACACTCTAACACATCAACCACTGCCAAATTGTAATGTCTACATGTCAGTGAAGCTGTGCTGCTGAGCCACGTAGTAAAACCAATGGTCCTGCTATCTGCCCTACCAAACGTTTGACAAAAAATTCAAGGTAAACAATAAAACGCATTGATTTGTAAATTTGTCACTCTGGAAATGAGAACTATAGAAATTTTAAACCAGATCCCCATTTTTACCAAGTCACAGTTGCAAGTTAAGATTAAATTTCAATACAACTGTCTTAATTTCTACAATGCATTTTTTTGTGGTATTTTCAGTATGAAACTGATGGCCACATAACCCTTGAAGATCAATAGTAAAAATGTCAGCCAACTATTGTAAGCGCATTAGCTGCAAAACACTTCAAGCAGAGCATCTTTCTTTGTACAAACAACTATCCATGTTTTAAAGATGGAATATAATCGCATCAAAATAAATTCGCTGGATTTAAATATAAAGCTATACCAATCAGCTTTTTCAGTGGACACCAGGAGTAAAGGTTGATGGTTTAAGATTTAAACTATTTTAGCAAGACACACATTAAAGTGACAATACAGTAATAATATAGAGTTCCTTTCATATGTGGCAACAAGTCCCATTATAAAAAAACAACCTTGGTTGAATGATAATATCACATCTTTTTTAAGCGTTTTTACCATTGATGAAAACTCAAAATTGGTGTTTTCTTCAAAAACCCATAAGCAACACACAGTAGCACAGGCCCTGCATGACCGATCCTGGCCTGCGGATATCCAAGGACTATTACTAATAGGGCTTTTTGAGTATTTTCAATTGTGGGATGTTACTGGATATGCATCTTTCCCAGGATGAAGATGTGCATATATGGAGACTGGATGGCTCGGGTAGTTTCTCAAAATCTGCTTATCGTGCTTTCTTCAATGGAGCAATCCCTTTTGAGCATTGGCGTCGGCTATGGAAATCCTGGGCTCCATCAAAATGCAAAGTTTTTCTTTGACTCGCCATCCGGAACCGGTGCTAGACAGTGGACAGACTTGAGTGGCGAGGCCTTCCGCATCCGCCCAAGTGTCCACTATGTGACCAGGAGGAAGAAGACATTCAACATCTGCTCACCACATGTGTGGTCTCCAGGGATTTCTGGTTCCGGGTTCTTGCACCTTTGGGCTTACAAGATCGGGTTCCAGGTCGTCATGAATTGTCTTTTGCAGATTGGTGGAGAAAAGCAGTGAGAAAGGTTCAGAAAGATAAAAAAAGGGTTGAACTTGATTATCATTTTGGGTGCCCAGGTAATCTGGGGACATGGTAATGCATGTGTTTTTGATGGCACGTGGCCGAGCATCAATGACCTCCTCCGGATGTTCAGAGAAGAGCAACACCTCTGCTGTCTTGCTGGAGCTCGAAGTCCGAGAGCGTTGGGTCAAGGTCAGGGAGACGGGGCTGTCTTAGTTTGTTTCCTCGCTCTTTGTGGGTCAGGTCTCATCTCTCCCGTGTTTCTTGAGAGTAAGTCCTGTTCATGTAAAATTCAACCCCTCATGGCTCGGCTCGGAGTGAGGTGGTGGTGATTGTAGGGCTGGTTCTTTCTCTCTATAATACAAAGATAAGAAGCTATCCTTCATATTCAAGAAAAAAAAAATTGGTGTCTTACGGGAAATAATCACAATTTCATAATGGCACTCAGCAAATTTCATCGTTGGCGGTGTGAACTGGCCAATACCATGTTTCTCCGTGTCCCACAGCAAAATTTGCCTAAATATTTTGGGCATGTCTCTGTTCTCCAGACAAATTTGGCAAAGAGTTCAGCCTCTCCTATTCACTGCTCGGAAAATGACCTGCTACTCACTTCGGAAATTATGTCTTGCCTGGTCAAGGAATTCCCATGCACTTATCTTGGCCTTCCTCTTTCCTTGCGGAAGCCTACTAATACAGAGTTTTTACCTCTAATTGAAAAGGTTGCACATTGTTGGTACTCGATCTCCCTGCACAGGTGAGCAGCTAGCTCACCAACACACTCACAAACTCACTCGGCTAGAGGTGGAAGAAGGGGATGAGCACAGCACACACACAGAGCACGAACAGCAGCTCTGCTGCTCTGAAATGTGGCTCAGCTGAACTGAATTTTCCATTGCTTGGATGTAGAGTATATACAACTACTTAGTACCATACAAGGTACACTAGTACACCTACTACAATGTCCTCTAGGACATGGCTGATATCAGCCCCAACAACTAAAGATGGCTGAGCTAAGCCATCTCTACCTAAGGTACAGCCTGGTACAAGTGATGGCCTATTGCCATGCCATACTTAAACAGGAAACAGGACAGCAAGAGCTGACCTTTGCCAACTCCTGCTGTGCAGGAAAAGAGAGGGAGGGCAGCAGCAGATTATGTCTTACAATTTTTTGAAAGGTCGATTATGTCTTATAATTCTTCCCCTAATCCTGCTGCTAACCCGATGCCTTGACCTTAACCATACCAATCATCTTCTTCAGCTCCGAGAACTGAAGTCGCCCGAGTGACTTGGTGAGGATGTCAGCGAATTGTCCGCCGGTCTCGACGAACTTGATGACAAGCTGTCCTCCATCGACGCAATCCTGAAAGAAATGAAACTTGACGTCGATGTGCTTGCTCTGGTCATGGAGGTCATGGTTCTTGGCGAGGGCGAGGGCGGGCTGGTTGTCCACCATCAGAGCTGGCCAACGAGCTTCCTCGCCAGTCAGCTCGCCCAGCAGCCGGCGCAGCCAGACCGCCTGGCACGCCACTGTGGCCGCCGCCACGTACTCCGCCTCGCACGTAGACAGCGCCACCACCTTATGCTTCATCGACTACCACGATATTGGGGCTGATCCAAGGAAAACGAGCATGCCGGAGGTGCTCTTCCGCCCATCAATGTCTCCCGCTATGTCTACATCGCTGAAAACAGTGAGCCGCAGCCCACCTCCATCGCCGGTCTTGGGGAAGATGACCCCCTAGTCCTCCGTCCCCTTGACGTAGCGTAGCAGCCGCTTCACTACAGCCCAATGATCCTCCCCGACCGCGAACGCGATGTTCGGTCGGGTATGAGTCAGGTACCACAGCCCGCTGACGATACTCCAATAGCGCATCGCGTCCACCTTGGCCACGGTGATGTCTTTTGACAGCTTCAGCCGCTCCTCCGTCGGAGTCGCATACAGCTTGCAATTAGCCATGCCACCGCGTTCCAGCAACTTCTCCGCGTAGGTGCGCTGGCCCAGGGAGATTGGAGTCGCTCCCTGCTTCAACTCAATGTCGAGGTAGTAGGAGAGTTGGCCGAGATCGCTCATGTGGAACCAAGCCGCCGTCTCGCACTTGAAGCCGTTGATGTCCTCCGCGTGCGCTCTGGTGACGATCAAGTCGTCCACGACACGCCGACGACGAAAGCTCCTCCTTCACCATCACCACGTGTAGAGCCATGCTCCGGTGGACAGTGTGCGAACCCAAGCGCACCCAGCGTGGCGTCGAGCTTGGCGTTCCACACCTGCGGTGCCTGCCTCAGCCCGTACAGGGCCTTGTGCGGCCACAACACCTTGTGCTCTGCTCCGTCAACGGCGAAGCCCAGAGCTTGGTTGACGAAGAATATCTGTCTCAGCCAGCTCGCCGTTGAGGAAGGCCGATTTGACGTCCACCAGGTGGTGAACGCGCCAATCCTTCGTCGTTGCCAAAGCCAACGGCAGGCGGACCTACTCCATGCTTGCCACCGGCTCAAAGACTTCCTCGAAGTCGATGTCCTTGCGCTAGATGAAGCCGCGGGCGACAAGACACTCTTTGTGCTTTGACGATGGCGCCGCGCTCGTCCCGCTTCACTTTGTAGACCCATTTCAGCCCGATAGGACAGCAGCCTAGAGGCAGATCGATGAGCTCCCAAGTCTCATTTTCTTCGATCGCCTTCATGTCTTCCAACATCGCCGCCCTCCAACTGGCATCTCGCTTGGCCTGCGCGAACGTGGGCTGCACTGACAAGGAGCAGCTCCTGATCACCGAGTAGCCAACTCGCCAAACCTAGTGCAGCCGAGTCGCCGACGAGGTTGTCCATGGTGCGGAAGCGCACCTCCTCGCCGTCGTGGAAGGCGTCCACATACACGTCAATGTTGCTCGGAGGAGAGGCAAACTCGACCGGTGTCGCTAGCGGTGTCCCCTGTCATGTTGCAGCAGGGGACAGTGGTGGTGTGTGCGCGAATGCTGGTGGAGTCTGCTGGTCTGCATCTCCTCCGCGGATGACCATGTGCTGACGAACGTATCGCCGACGCCGCTGGCTTCCCCCGCGCCCGGATCCTTCCAATCCCAGGCCGCCATTTCGTCGAACACCATATCCCACGAGTCCACCACCTTGCCTCCACGCGGATCAAACATCCGGTAGGCCTTGCTACCCTCCTCGTAACCCAGGAGCACAATCGGCGTGCTCCTATCTTCCAGCTTGTTGAGGTTTGGCTTGGTCTTCTTGACGTGGCCGATGCACCTGAATGTCCTGAGGAAGGAGACGCCCGGCTTCCTCCAGAACCAAGCCTCGAACGGCGTCATGCCCTTCAAGCTCTTCGAAGGTGCAAAATTAAGGATGAACAACCGCCTCTCCCTAGAATTCTACTGGCATGCCCTATGCCTTCATCATGCTTCGAGCCATGCCCACCATTGTCTAGTTCCGCCGCTCCACCACGCCATTTTGTTGCGACGAGTACGGCGCGGCAATAGGCGGCGATCTCCACCGATGTGAACTCGCCACCGCGATCCATCCTCAGCACGCGCAGCTTCTTCCCGGACTCTACCTCAGCCCGCGCCTGGAAACGCCTGATCGCCGTCGCCGCCACATCCTTGCTCGTCAGGAGCTGCAGCTACATATAGCGGCTGCAATCATCCACGAGCAGCAAGAAATAGCGCCGCCCAACGTGTGCGGCCGACACGATAGGCCCGCAGAGGTCGCCGTGGACGAGCTCGAGCACGTTCCCCGAGCGAAACTTGGTCGTCTTCAGAAACAACGTCCTCTACTTTCCCGCCAGGCAACTGTCACACAGCTCGCCGACGTGCTCGATGTGGGGCAACCCTCGCACCATCTTCTCCAACCACCTGAGCGCGTCCAAGCTCAAGTGCCCGAACCGCGCGTGTCGCGCCGCCAGGCACACCGGCTGCTCCACTTCAAATCGAGCAAGTACAATCGGTTACGGGAGCGTTGTACCTTGGCAAGAAGTCGTTGCTCCCGGTCCCTAATCCTCAGCACACCGCTCTTGACGAGCACTTCATAGCCACGCTCATCCAGCTGGCCGATGCTGACGATGCTCGAGTGCAGCTAAGGGATGCAATAGACATCCGTCAGCGCGCAGTGCTCCCCGTTCTGGCATCGGAAGATCACTTTGCCACCACCTCGAATCACCACCTTCGAGCCATCACCGAACTTGACCGAGCCCATCACACCGCCGTCGAGCTCGGAGAAGGCCTCCATGGAGCCGGTCATGTGGTTGCTAGCGCCCGAGTCCAAGTACCACCTCTACTCCATGCCACTGCCCACTCGTCCGAGGTGGACTTGGGCGCGCGACTCGTCGAGGTAGATGGCCTATGATGCCTTCCCCTGCTCCACAGCCGCCACCTCCTACTTCGCCTCTTGCTCTGGCTCTGGCTCGACGTCATGCAATGCGTAGAACGTCGCCATCAGGAGAGTAGGCTCATCGTCGTCCACCTGCGTGAGGTGAGCCTCTGCCGTCTCCTTCAGATTCTTGCAATGGCCTGTCTTCCCACAAAGCCAACAGGTGTCCCTGTCGAGAGGCTCGCCGTCCTTCTGCGGGGCCTTGCCGCGGCGCTTGTCGTCGCCGCCGCGGCTTGAGGAGCCTTCCCTGGACCGCTTCTCCCACATTCGGACCATCCACTCCTCGGTCATCAACAGATTGTCGCCAGCCGCTGTCGTGGCCTCCTCCACGCGATCATCCACCGCCCTCAACCACCCAGTCACATCTTCAATTGAGGGTGGAGTGGGATCTGCATGTACTTGGGCGGCACGACGCGCAGGTACTTGGCGACCGCCTCCTCGTCGGTGATGGTGACGCTATGCGCGCCAATTGGCTGATGAACGACTGCAGACGGCGCGAGAAATCCTCCACTGCCTCGCCATCGCGGAACACCAACACGTCATACTCCCGCCGAAGCTAATGTGCCTTCGCCATCTTCGCGCGATCAGACCCAATGCGCATGGCCTTGAGGGCGTCCCAAGTAGCGATTCCATGTACTCATGAGGCACGGCGGAGAGGATCACATCCATCGCCGAGCAGTCCTCTTCATCCTCGGTGTCCTCATCAACAGCCTTCCAGAGCTTCTAGCTTGACCTTCACATGCACCGCCCACCCGCCGTAGTTTGTGCGGGTGAGGACCAGCCATCGCTAACCTCCCACACGATCCTCTGCACGATGACCTCCTAGCGCAATGGAACCTCTATTCCACCACCCTACACCAACGAGCCATCCTCACCGGTCATTTCCGGAGCAGTCCTCTTCATCCTCGGTGTCCTCATCGACAGCCTTCCAGAGCTTCTAGCTTGACCTTCACAGCCCACCCGCCGTAGTTTGTGCGGGTGAGGACCAGCCATCGCTAACCTCCCACATGATCCTCTGCACGATGACCTCCTAGCGCAATGGAACCTCTATTCCACCACCCTACACCAACGAGCCATCCTCACCGGTCATTTCCGGTGATCAACCGCAATGACAGCCTCGGCTCCGCTACCACTTGTTGGCCCTCGATCTCGCCACACAGGTGAGCAGCTATCTCACCAACACACACTCAAACTCAGTCGGCTCGAGGTGGAAGAAGGGGAGGAGCACAGCACACACACAGCACGAACAACAGCACTACTGCTCTGAAATGTGGCTCAGCTGAACTGAATTTTCCATTGCTTGGATGTAAGTATATACAACTACTTAGTACCATACAAGGTGCACTAGTACACCTACTACAATGTCCTCTAGGACATGGCTGATATCAGCCCCAACAACTAAAGATGGCTGAGCTAAGCCATATCTACCTAAGGTACACCCAAGTACAAGTGATGGCCTATTGCCATACTTGAACAAGAAACAGGACAGCAAGAGCTGACCTTTGCCAACTCCTGCTGCGCAGGAAAAGAGAGGGAGAGCAGCAGCAGATTATGTCTTACACACATCACCTCCCAGGATGGAAGGCATCCTTGATGAACCAAACTGGGCGTCTGATAATGGTCCCAACGTTGCTGACTGCTACTCCCGTTTATCTTATGACTGCCCCTGACCTCCTGAAGTGCGTAATTAAAGCAATTGACAAGAAACGTCAAGGTTTTCTTTGGAAAGGTCAAGAACAAACCAATGGGGGGCAATTGTCTTATGTCCTGGCAAAGGGTTCAGATGCCTTTGGAATTTGGTGGTTCAGGTATACATAATCTTGACCTGCATGACAAGGTCTTCCAACATGGGTGGCTAAGGGGTTCGGGGGTTCTCTCGACCTGCGTGACAAGGTCTTCTTATGCAACGCCCGAGGGCTGTCTTACCCCCCAGAGGTCCGAGTTTTTTCTAGATAGAGGACAAAGATGGAGCACAGCAGCGCTCTGGGCACTGCTATGTGATAGCCACATGGAACCAAGTCTGGCTGCATGGAGCTAGATTTTGGGCAGTATTGTGTTGTGCGCTCCTGCCAGAGGAAGAAGAAAAACAATGGGGCGGAAAGAAAAGGGAGGGTCATTTGGAATGATCAAATGAATCACCAGATAGCATTTGCTCTTACGTGGCATGACCCTGAAAAGGTTTTGGGGCTAGAGGCATGAGCCTATAATAATTCAAAAGGCAGAGGTAAACGCCAATTGAAGCAATGGTATGAACGTAAATTTTCCAATTTCAATCAAGATGTAAAATATATCAGACATGCATAGTTATGCACTTGCATTGAGGTAATATAGGGTTGATCGAATTATACAAAGAAGAAAACACTGAAGCACAGTTGAATCCATAGTCCTGAAGCAACCCCTAGTATATGGCAACTGGCCAAGCAACCCGATCCTCTTTTGTAAGCTTCCCAAATGTTCAACTCAAGTGTTCAGCGTGTTAAGTTGTTGCAGTTTATAGCAATTGTTCAGCACAGTAAGCAGTTGCAGCTTGTAGCTGCTGAAAGTCTGCCTTCTACAACCTCTCTTTGCATCATGAGTCGACATCAGCGGTTCAATGTAGCTGTGTGAGTATTCCTCCATTCTGCTAGTATAGATCTCTTCTTCCCCCAATGGTTGCTTGCACCAGGAAAATGTTTCTATGTCCTTGGAGATGCATGGAGGGTATCCTAAGTATTTGGGTGGGCTTTCCTCTTGGCAGTCTTCATCGTCTTTCGTAATTCTACAACTAGCAAGAATGCAATGCTGCATGTATGAAAATATTTAGCGTTTGGTATTGTGTTCCAATCACAAGATTTGCTTAATAGAAATAAAAAATTAAAGTCGTTATGACCATTTGATAGTTGAGGAATCAGTAATGACATTCCAAAAGAAATAGGTATTCAAAACATGTGTCGATAAATTCCTGCAGTCATGCTCCTTTGTTCATTCCAGCTCTTAAATTAAAATCTCATTTATTCACTATCCCTATAAAATCCTATTCACTTCAGAAGAGTAAAGTGTACTTTTTCCTTCAGTTTTCCTAAGTGTAAGCACATCCAATTGATTTATCGTATTTTGTGCCCCAATTTCCTAGAGTCCAGCACAACCACCAGGGAAAAGTTATGGCATTTTCTATTAAGAAATTTGGTTGTACATCTTAACTATTCAATTGAATTGCATATTTTGTAATCAAATAAGGGATATTGTGTCACTTGCTCAATGGTCACAAAATATAAAAATGACTACAAACTTCATGCATTTAGAAGGCAAAATTCAGAAGCAAATCTGAGTAAAGCATCTTTAGAAACAATGCATGAATATGAACATAACTTGTTTCTTCTTTGACATTGGATAATGCATCTGCATATGAAGGCTAACGCCGGTAAGCACTTTCTTGTGAGATGTGCTAACAATTAATAATCTCAGTAAGGTGTAGTTTGACCATATAAGCATTAAGCACCGCTTGGAAAGGTAAAGATAACATTCATTCCATTCATGATCATTATTACGAGCTCCTTATCCAATGGGAGGACAGAACACGCATGTGATTTGGAATTGTATACATTTTAGGGGAAAAAGCAAAATGTGGGATATCAACTAATAAAGATCCATCCATACCTTAACCATCTCATAGACTCCCTCTGCGATGGCAACAGAAGAATCACCTGAAATACAGTGCATATGACTCAGTACATCACAAGTTTATGGAAACTTATCACTGTGTATTCGTAAGACATAATTTGGGCCGAGGATAATATATCAATTAGTCCTAACTGTTAGCATGTTTAATACTGTGTTTATTGCCTGCATGCTGTTGCCTGGGATTCTTCCCTGGCGTGTTGTCTGGGATTCTCCCCCTTTCTTAATTACTACCTTAGCTTCTATAAATCCTTGTAACCTCTGCTGTTATCAATCAATCAATCAATATACAGAAGCATGTTTATGCTCTAATACTGACCTCCAAATGAACACAAATCCATGGGTACAATAATAGAATTGGATCCTTTTGGTGGCGAAGATGCCTCAATTGCTAACTCCAAAGAAAAACACAAATATTAGGTGGGAATGTAACGTACAGAACACATATAAAAACAGATAACATTCATATCAAGATTGAAATTTACCTTTCTTGCAGTTCCTCCAAGCCTCTTTGACAATAGGAAGAAGCATGTCACACCAGCATCCTACAGATTCCTCAGAAAGCTTTGAGCTACAATCCTTGTGTGAATCCTACAGATAGCACTTAATAATCAGCAGGAGGCAAAGAACACTAATATGTCTACATCTCTGGTAAGGCTGATTCAATAGGATAAACATTTAAGAAAGGCATTTCACTTCTCTGCAAGACTTCTATACGTTTGGCCATTTGGGTAAGGGCACTCTCAATGCAGAAACTACTGGATATTTTCCATAGCCTAAGAAACTACCCATGGAAACCACAAACTCACAATGCAGAATTTTTTGTATGGGACCCTTTCTTACCTCCATCCAATCCGCTCTCCATGTCCAAGAACAGGAAGAAACTAGCAGCCCTCCCCAATGCAATGCCTGTAGTTTCTTCTACCATCGATTTGCGTGAAGGCACAGTTTTTTGTTTAGAAACTGTTTCTTCGATTTTTAATCTCTCCTCAATAAATTACTTGCCACATCAGCAAAATGTCTACCTGGCAAGGTAATTAATAGAGATACAAACCATGCTGGTTTCTGCATTGGGAGTGCCCTAAAGCCCAGTTAGGAATTTAAATATAGTGCTTACTTCACATCTACTCCTTTTCCAAATTGTAAGTCGTTTTGGCGTTTTTAGATACATTGTTTTTACAACATATCCAAACATAGCATATATCTAGATGCATAATAAAAGCTATGTACCTAGAAAAGACGAAACGACTTACAATTTGGAACGGAGGGAGTACAGTGTTTTCTTTATATGCAATTTTGAACAGAAAAAGCAACATCTAGTGAAAGATAGAAAGCTGGGTTGCAAGAAACCGAAGAGAAAATATCAATGTGGAAACCCATCTCTAATATAATTTTATCTGACAGGTTCCAGACACATCTCATGGCATTCAAAGAAAACTGCTTAAAAACATAAGTGAGATGAGGCAATGTTGCTTCAATGCAAACAAGCAAGAATTGTCACTACAGCACCAATAACATAGAGACCACAGAAAGTTAAAACTCTACTGTACTTTGTTGAGGCACCAATATGAACTGATTCCAAGAAAAGTGTTCTGACAGCGAAATTTGATAATAATAAAGAGGAAAAGAATCGTAGTTCTCCCCTTGCATTTTGCTGGGAAAGAAATCAAGGAAGCAGACTGTTATTATATCTCTAAACCCCAGCATAAGTATTACAGGAATGATAAGGCAGTATGAATGTACCTTTAGTCGCCTTAGATGAAAAGCAGTGAATTCTTCCTCTCCATGGGGCAGCAGTTGCCGGAAAAGCCAGCCACCAACCAAACGAACATCTGCAGAAACCATTGATCTGCAGAAAAGGTCTACTAAAGCATCGAGCACCTACAAACAATCAAGGTGTATAAATGGCAAAGAAACACGTAAGAATCCCACGACATCATAAAGCATCACGTGTTCAGAAAAAAAAGCTCATAAAGCAAAAGGTCAATATTTTAAATGTAAGTTTAAAGTTGATAGCATGTGTCACAATCACCCTCCAAACATTAACGAAGAACTATAACTAAAACTAGCGAGCAGATACAATATTATTAGCTAAGTCCAGGAGATCAGCATCTGTGACACAGATAGGCCTGGATAAAAATTCTAATGCTGTAAACAATTACTTAAAATAACCTTTCTAGGTTACTAACTTACAAGATAATCCTAATAAAAGAATTAAAAGACAAGTTATATCAGTTACTGGGATGCCCAACATAGAGATGCCCACAGTGGTAACACAAAATCTCAATGGATGAACTGTAACATTAGCCTAGACGAAAAGTTGAAGTAATTTGGAGACATCACATCCAACACCTTAGGATACACTTTATTAAGGTGCCTAGAGGTGTTTGGTACATGCACATGCTCTCAATGAAAGCAAAGCAATAAAGATTATTTCTGCATTGATACAAAAGCAATGTTATTTTCTGATTCAAAGTACACAAATGAAGGATGCCATCATTATTTCAAGAAAACACACTCCAGTACTCCACAGATAAAGGAACCAAACAGGTAATTTGTGTGAGGATCAACAAATAAACCTGATATCTGTGAGCTTTGGAAGTCATTTGCCGTGGATGGTGACACTGCAGCCCATATTTATCCTGTAGAGAGGAAAATAGTATATTAAGGATGTCCTGACAAACTAAGAATCTAAAGAACGATAAAAAGATAAGATAGCAAGTGTGAGAAACTAAATAAAACTGCTATCAGTATTTCATATATGAAATCGAATTAGAGTAAATTTTGGATAACCATACTTGATCTAAATTTCACAAACCTAAACCGTTAGCTTGGACATCAATTAGCATTCAGTCCCGCACGTCAGACAATAGTTTATGATGTATTCCAGAAGCTGTGGTTTTTAATTCAGACCATGTGTAGTCAAAGTTCGGCTAGGCGGCGACTACTCGGCGACTACGCGCGCCTAGTCGCTGGGCGAAGCCCGTCGCCGCGACTAGGGGCATAGTCGCGCATCGCGGCGCTAGGCGGGCGCGGACGCGGCGCGTAGGCGCGCGAGATGAAAGAGTAAGCCAGCTAGGAATCAGATCACAGAAAGTTAGGGTCAGAAAACTTGTGAACTTGCAACGAAGAAGAGAAAGGAGATGGTTACGGGGCGAAGGGGGCTTGGGGCGCCGCACTGGCGCCGCTGGAGCTGCCGCCGGCCGGGCTAGGCGCTGCTGGGGCGGGCTCACGCGAGTGCGGGAGCGCCTGGGCGAACGTGGACAGCCGGCGGTCGCCGGCACACGGGGCGGCGCGCAGGCAGGGGGGGGCGACGCAAGGTGGCCCGCACTCGCCCAGGACTGGGTGGGACGGCACGCACGCTGGAGGTGCCGGCAGCAGCGCGAGAGGCTCGGTGGTGAACAGCAGCGGCGAGAGGGCGAGGCGACCCGGTGAGGAGCGGGGGAGTCCGCCGAGGACGCGTGGTGGGGGATTTTTCTTTCTTTTCTCTTTGCTATTCTGTCGGAGGGAGGTGGGATGGATGAGGGTGACATCCGAGAGTACTGGCCCTCTTTTTATAGTTAAAATGTGTTGCAGGAGCTAGGAACATGCAAGAGTAAGCCAGCTAGGAATCAGATATGTCTACTGGCCCTCTTTTTATACTTACTGTGAGTCTATGACTCATATATAGTAGTTATATACATATATATAGTTATATACATAATATATATATAATTTATGGCTATATTGCCAAAACGCCTAGGAAAACGCCTAGGAGCGCCTAGGACCGAGTACTCCCGACTAGGCGCTAGGCAATGGGTCAGCGCCTAGATTCCGCCTAGCGCCTAGCTGAACTTTGTGTGTAGTTCTCTTAAATTTACTCAACTAAGTCACATGTTCCACATACAGTTGCATCAAGCAAAAGTTTATCACAGCAGTGCACATATTTATAATAAAAAAAGATTAATGCAGTTCCAGAAACTCCAGATAGTTGAACAGAACTTCAGAATTAATGTGATACGTCTTTGTTTAGGTTGAATGAATAAATTACAACCATGAGCTGTGATGGTATGAGGTTGAAATATCACTAATATCCCACCATTAACGTACAGAATTGAGTAGATATTTGTAATTATATGCCACTCAATCTATTTTGAATATTCATATTCGCTTACAAAATATGGATGAGTGGTGCAACCACACAGTTCACATCAGATTCACTTCATCCCTATTATTCAGAAAATAAATATGAATTTCCAAAAACAAGCACCTTTTCAAAATTCTCCCACTAGTATGTTATGAAGGTTCATTTGGGGATATGGAGAACCATTGCCAGGAAGATAGCTGGGAAAAGTCCGCTTGGAGGGAGACTAGAGAGACTAGAGTATTTAGGGGAATTGGATTGTTTGTTCTTTCTTCATTCCTTTCCTTGGTAGATCACCTCCCTTTTATATAGAGAGGACTCCTGGCCACCTAAGGAAGGCCCAATCAAATAATACCAAATCATATCCAATCCTATCACTAATTGACCCAAATCTAATCCTGTCTCTAACTGATCAAATCCCTCTAATTGATCTAACCTAATCTCTTTCCTAATCCTTATTCCTTCATTAACAAGGGTGCTATAGGTCGCGCTACAGTACCAGGGTACTGTTCGCACCAGCCCAGGCTGGGCCATCCTGGGCCCAACACCCATAACATAGTATGTGCATTATGCTGCTGTAGACCATGTTGATGTACAAAACAGGAGTTTGAAGACGCATGAGACTGGTGCAAGTATTAAATAAATTGTATTACGATAATCATCGCTGGGTGGTTCATATAAAAAGAGCTTTGACAGTACAAGACAAGCCATTGAGGAATATCTACTGATTTGGGATTTGGTCGAGGATATGGTCTTGCAACATGATGTGAAGGATCAACACATTTGGAAGCTGTCTAGTTTGGGCGTATACACATGCAAATCTGCCTATAAGGCCTTCTTTGTGGGCAACATCAGATTTGCACCATAGAAAAGAATTTGGAAATCGTGGGCTCCTCTATGTTGTGGATATTTCATATGGTTGGCTGTTCCTAAACGATGTTAGACAGCCAATAGGTTGGCGAAAAGAGGTCTCCCTCATCCTCCTTGCTGTCCTCTTTGTAATCAAGCTGATGAGACCATGCAGCACATCCTTATATGTTGTGTTGTGTCAGCAAATTTGGTTGAATGTTCTCCAACAGGCTGGACTTGAGAGGATTTCTCCTTTTAATGCTGCTGGGAGTTTTTCTAGTTTTGTCGAGTCACTCTCTCAAGCAAGTGGATAAACAACAAAGACAAGGGTTTAAATTCACTAATTAACCTTGTTGCCTGGGAGCTTTGGAAACATCACAACAATGTTGTTTCAGTGATGCTGTTTCAGAATAAAACAATGTCGTGAGGGTGATCAAGTAAGAAACTTTGTGGTGCATGGCAAGAGCTAAGGAGCTCCAACAACAACAACAACAACAACAACAACAAAGCCTTTAAGTCCCCAACAAGTTGGGGTAGGCTAGAGTTGAAACCCAACAGAAACAATCAAGGTTCAGGCACGTGAATAGCTGTCTTCCAAGCATTCCTATCTAAGGCTAAGTCTTTGGGTATATTCCATCCTTTCAAGTCTCCTTTTATTGCCTCTACCCAAGTCAACTTCGGTCTTCCTCTGCCTCTCTTCACGTTACTATCCTGACTTAGGATTCCACTACGCACCGGTGCATCTGAAGGTCTCCGTTGCACATGTCCAAACCATCTCAACCGGTGTTGGACAAGCTTTTCTTCAATTGGCGCTACCCCTAATCTCTCACGTATATCATCGTTCCGAACTCGATCCCTTCTTGTATGCCCGCAAATCCAACGCAACATACGCATTTCCGCGACACTTAGTTGTTGAATATGTCGTCTTTTCAGAGGCCAACATTCTCGCACCATACAACATAGCAGGTCTAATCGCCGTCCCCATAAAACTTGCCTTTTTTAGCTTCATGGTACCCTTTTGTCACATAGGTCACCCAGGGCGCTTGCCGCCACTTCATCCACCCCGCTTTGATTCTATGGCTAACATCTTCATCAATATCTCCGTCCCTCTCTGTAGCATTGATCCTAAATATCGAAAGGTATCCATCCTAGGCACTACTTGACCTTCCAAACTAACATCTTCCTCCTCCCGAGTAGTAGTGTGTTGAAGTCACATCTCATATACTCGGTTTTAGTTCTACTAAGTCTAAAACCTTTGGACTCCAAAGTCTCCCGCCATAACTCCAGCTTCTGATTCACTCCCGTCCGCTTTCATCAACTAGCACTACATCGTCTCATGAAAAGCATACACCAAGGATGTCCCTTGTATGTCCCTTGTGACCTCATCCATCACTAAAGCAAACAAATAAGGGCTCAAAGTGACCCTTGATGTAGTCCTATCCTAATCGGGAAGTCATCCGTGTCTCCATCACTTGTTCGAACTCTAGTCACAACATTGTTGTACATGTCCTTAATGAGCCCGACGTGCCGTTGGGACTTTATGTTTGTCCAAAGCCCACCACATAACATTCCTTGGTATTTTATCATAAGCCTTCTCCAAGTCAATAAAAACCATGTGTAGGTCCTTCTTCTTCTCCCTATACCGCTCCATAACTTGTCTTATTAAGAAAATGGCTTCCATGGTTGACCTTCCGCATGAAACCAAATTGGTTCATAGAGACCCGCGTTATTGCTCTCAAGCGATGCTCGATAACTCTCTCCCATAGCTTCATAGTATGGCTCATCAACTTAATTCCCTTAATTTGTACAACTTTGAATATCCCTTTATTCTTGTAGATCGGTACCAATATACTTCTCCACTCATCGTGCATCTTGTTTGATCGAAAAATATGGTTGAACAACTTGGTCAACCATACTACGACCTATGTCCCCGAGGCATCTCCACACCTCGATTGGGATACCATCCGGTCCCATCGCCTTACCTCCTTTCATCCTTTTCAACGCCTCTCGACCTCGAGATTCTTGGATTCTCCGCACAAAGCGCCTATTGGTGTCATCAAAAGAGTCATCCAACCGAAAGGTTGTGTCCATATTCTCACCATTGAATAATTTGTCAAAATACTCTTGCCATCGATGTCGGATCTCATCCTCCTTTACCAAGAGATGCTCCTTTCATCCTTAATGCACTTAACTTGGTTGAAGTCCCGTGTCTTTCTCTCACGAACCCTAGCCATCCTATAAATGTCCTTCTCTCCTTCCTTCAGACTCAAATGTTGGTAAAGATCCTCGACGCTCTACCCTTTGCCACACTTACATTTCGCTTTGCGGTCTTCTTTGCCACCTTGTACTTCTCTATGTTGTCCACACTCTGTCATGGTACAAGCGTCTATAGCATTCTTTCTTCTCCTTAATAGCCCTTTGGACTTCCTCGTTCCACCACCAAGTGTCTTTAGCCTCGCGTCCCCTTCCTTTGGTTACTCCACACACCTCTGAGGCTACCTTCCAATGTTGGTTGCCATCTTGTCCCACATATTGTTTATGTCGTCTTCTTCCTTCCAAGAGCCCTCTTTGATAACCCTTTCCCTAAATACCTCGACGTCTCCCCTTTCGGTTTCCACCACTTTGTTCTTTCAATCTTAGCTTGTTTATCCCTCGAGCACACACCCTGAAAACCGAAAATCGCCACCAAAAGCTTATGTTGAGAAACAACACACTCCCCTGGTATCACCTTGCAATCCAAGCATGCTCGTTTGTCCTTTCTTCTTGCGAGGACAAAGTCAATCTGCTCTGATGTTGTCCGCCATCTTGAAGGTCACTAGATGAGATTCTCTCTTTCTAAAGAAAGTGTTAGCTATCATCAGGTCAAAAGCTACCGCGAAGTCCAGAACTTCCTCCCCCTCCTGATTCCTACTACCATACCCAAAACCTCCATGAACTGCCTCGAAACCTGCGCTTGTAGTACCTACATGCCCTACAGATTCTATTATTGAGAATAGGCTATACTTATTTTCTTTAGCATGTTTTTCCAGCCAGATTGTTCTTTTCATTTTAAAGTAGACGCTTATTATAATGTGTGTGTAAAGACCTGTACAATTTATTTCTTCTAATTTAATGAAATAATATGCGTATTCGAGAAAAAAAAATGTACGGATAAAGAGCAGCAGTGTACCTGAAGCTTCCTTACATAAATATCAAAATCACTACAAATGCTGTCATCAGTTAGACCGCTGCTTGACGAAAATAATTGTCTTTCAGCAAGGTCTTCACCTACTAAAGCTTGCTGCAGGTAGAGAAGACAGGTGTCAGAAAATCAAAGTAAAATGTAGTACCATGATCAAGTTTTCAAATGCAAAGGAGGTAATACTAAGACATAACTAGAACCAAGGAAAGGAACAGGGGGCTGCAAAACAATGAAGGGCCAATAAATCTGCCAAATCTTGTTCATTTTGTAAGGTTTCATGCACCAACTAGATGAACCCAAAGCTTAAGCCTTTGGGAAGAGGTGGGCAATCCACTTTATACTTCAACACTCCCACTCACGTGCAGCCACAGATAAGGTGCAAACGTGGAAATAAAGGAGCGGAGGACTTAAATGACGCCTCTGCCAGGACTCGAACTCGAGACCGCTGGCTTTGATACCATGTAAGGTTTCATGCACCAACCAGATGAACCCAAACGCTTAAGCCTTTGGGAAGGGTTGAGCAATCCACTTTATACTTCGACACATTAACGCCAATCATGACTACCCATAAAACATTATACTAGCTGCCTTACGTGATTTTTAATGGGAAGAGAGACCCTGCACATGGTATAGAACAAACTGTAGCTACTAAAAAAATAAGAAAAATATAGCACAATAACCATTCACATAGACATCTACAAACAAGGTGTCAGAATTTTAGGATGCTAACAACATAGTCGACTAATGTTGAGGAAAACATGGGTGCATTCTACAACTGACCACACTAGAGTAAGAAAACAAGTAAAAGAACTGTTTTTTCTCTCCAAGTGGGAAGGTGACAGTATACTTACTAATAGAAGTTTCTTATGCTGCTTTCTTTGAGGGAGGATTCCAAGTGCATCCAGCATTGATTCATCAAGTTCTATAAAGCCAATAATTACTTACAATTATTTTCTGGGAAAGACACAGTGAAAAGCATAAGCATATGAGAAAATGTCAAGCACACCTTTCGTCTGCAATAATGTAGCGAATAAGCACAATGAACCCAAAGCTTGTGAATCATCTCCTTCTGTGATATAGGACAGCAAGTGTTCCCTGAAATTGCAGGAGTCAACAAGCATGTATACAATAATCTGATATGTGAACTGCGGAAAGCAATACTCCAATATCTAAATAGTATGCTAGTTGTGATGAGGAACATACTATTTAGATGTATCATTGGAGGAAATTCTTTAGAGTCGTTGCTACTTTTTAGGAATGGAGCTTGCTTTGATGTAGTTGTATTGCTTTGTGCAAAGTTTGTAGTTCTTGTACTGGCCAGATCTGGAGCCCTGGGTGCTCTCAGTCTGGTTTCAGCTTTATTCTAGTTGTGTAATAGTAGTTGATGCCATCGTTTAAGTGGTCGTTTGTTCACAGAATCTTGTAATTTTGTAGCATTTATAGTAATAAATTCAAGATTGTCCCATTAAGGAAAAAGAATATTAATAGTATGCAGATTTAAACCATTTTTAAAAAAATGTAAGCCCACAGAGAAAGGTAGATATTGTTATCTATTATATTATCAACAACAGTACTGCTGCTTCTGCTCAAAAGAGGGGACATTCTGGAATTTCTCTAGTCAACTTACTAAATTTAGACAGACAACATATCTATAAATATTTAAACTAGTGGATTTGCCATTTTTCTCGAAAACAGTTTCATGAATTCAGAACTCTATCAGGTTTTGATAGGATATCAAAGTGCAAATTAGTCATTTGAAATTCAGGTTGGGGACAGCAACCAAAACGTTTCAGGGACCAGGGAGCACAATCCCTTGTCTGTCACACAGATGCCCAACAAACCAGATCTAATGAAACATAGGTCCCAAAACTTACAACTACAAGTGGGTTCAAGGACACAATTTACATATAAAAACAAATAAATATGTAAAAGACAACTGCACAGTAAGGCACAGATGAGTTCTTTATAGCTCCTATTATAGTTACTTCCAACAAACATGAGCTTAACATGACACCATTATGCCATAACCACTTGTACACATTTACCTAAGACACCAATCTTTACTCTACTACCAAATCATCAAAGCACATAATCATGAGAAATGTCCTGATTTACACAGCACAATGTTCAAATTAAGGGGCCTGCCAAAATAAATTTGATTTCAAAGTTTAGGGACCAATGTGGAAAACTGCTGAGCATGCCTAGGGAGCTGAGGCACAGCTGTGTGTGCCCATAGATCATAAAGTCCAGTTTGACAGAGCTCCAGCTCCACGAGTTCTTGAAACTGGGAATTCATATCTCCAATAACTCATGGAGCTAGAACTGGGGGTACAACAAAATCTTTAGGTGGTTCACTTTCTTTACATTTTAGAGATCTAAATCACTTTATGTTAGGCTTTTACCATACAAACTCCAGATCTTACGTAAAGGTGAGAGCTGGAGCTCTTTGAAATAGTGCCTAAGTAGACATTTTCACTTTGCAGCATTATTAGTAAGGCATAAGGCATGCCATTAGAATATTGCAGCACTCAAAAATGTAACTGCAGCACTCGAAACAAAACCAAAAAAACCGAATGCCCAGTCCTATAAAAGCATGCATTTTGTTATCTTACATATGGCATTTATCCTCTATCATTGAACAAATAAAGTATGAATAGGACAAACTTGCATAATGGAAGCACCTTTTCAGCAACAGTAACATACCTTGGTGTGTTGCCTTGGCAGCAATCACTTGGCGGTGAATTGTCGGGCAAGCGTTTCCAACTAACAGAAGACAAAGAATTTGGCTCATCCTCATTTGATTGCTCGACAGCAGAGGCAGTAGTGCAATGATTCTCAAATTTGCAATTATCATGCTCAGATGTATACCCATTAGGCGTCCCTTGCTTCCTATCATGAGGGCCATCAGGTTGATGAAAAAGGGCAGCAGCTACAGTACTTGCCATATCCTTATTCTTAAAAATGTGTAGTATACAACAAAGCAGATACATGGATGTAGTGACACTTAAGTCCAAATCCTAAAGAAAAAAATTATAATAAAATATAAGAAATAAGAAACCAACGCAGAAGTAGATGAGATAATATGTAAAATGTTTCTCAGCACTTACTGTGCTCTGCCTCTGCAATGACGGGAGTAAGAACCGAAATACCAGAACTTGCAAGATATTTTCAGTGATGAACCTTTCAAGATCAGGAATACCAGAAGACATAACATCACTGAAATAATACAGTGTGTCTTCAATTTGCACAATTGCATCTTCAACAGAAGACATTGGCAAAGAAGAATTCGCATTTCTGTAATAAAATAAATAATCCAGCATAAGGAATATAAATTTAACACAAAAAACCCATTCTAGTGATGTCACTAAGTTACCGTGAGGAGCGTGCAACCAACTTATCCAAGTCAATGCACTGCTTCTGAAAATGCTGAACCATGTCTGAAAAATAATCTGATAGAGGCACACGGGAAATGAATCTGTTAATAGATTCATCTCCAACTGAAAACAAAGAATTGCCCAATAAGCAAAAGTGGATACAGGACACAAGCATTCATAATGGACACCAAGGGCTTACCAACTTACCATGATAGACATTGAGTGTCAAGGTACGTATAGCAACTCGAATCATGCTATCCTCGTGAAAAGCAAACTTTAAGGCCTCAACATAAAGAGGAAAGGAAGTGACCTCATCCTGTATAGAACAAAGGGGATGAGAGGAAGCTAGTAAACAAGGGATCTGCAATGCACAACAAACCTCTAAAGCTCAACTAGTCCAAACTTTTTAATGGGCAAACAAATGAATGATGCGATTAGAGTAGCCACGTGAGACAAGCAAATAACTATCTTCAGAATATGCCTATATTTCAATATGGGTGGCACACCCCTAGCAAAACAGGGTAAGCACAATATGGGTGGCACACCCCTAGCAAAACTGGGTAACAACAATATGGGTGGCACACCTAGCAAAACAGGGCAAGAACCAGATCCCTAAACATTGCCCACAGCACACTCGTATCCCAAACTTAACCGCGGTAGTGCCATGGTTCTTATTTGGGCATATTTGTCCTTAAAGTGATAAAATGCTGCTGCTAACCTCAATAACATGGCAACAGTTTTTTTTTATGCAGTCCACTCAGCGAAGCCGCATTACATCTGAGGAGTCACAATTGTTGGTTGGATACAGAAAAAATGTTGTGCTACACTAATTGGACACATAAAACAAACCAAGAAGTATGAAAGGGAACAGAATAGAATATACTTAGTAGTCCAAACAAAAGAAGCAAGGAACAAGGCTAGAGTATCTGTCTTCCAGAAGTTCAGATATATACATTTTTCGTCTTCACGAGCAAAGAAATTGTATTCTTGTTCAACTTCCCACTTATCGCCCTTCACAAAATGGTACCAGGTAAGCCGATACATATAATGGTCAGTACTAAAACTAAAGTTATATATGCAGGTATTACGAACCGCAGAAAAGATATGTAGTACGATAACATCTCATCAATTCGAAAGTCAAATGGGTATGTAATCAAGAAGTTGATGTGCTCATTGCTAAAAATGTAATCTGCAGAAAACATAAACACTTGCATATTAGGCCTTTCAACTATCTGCATTGCAAAAACTGAGTGGATGCTGCAAAGTAGGAGAACATACAAATTGAATGTTCATTTCTCAGATTTTGGATCATGATACCCATTGTCTGTAGCAGTTGGAGTGACACTCTTGACAGCTTAGAGATCCTTAGGACACGAGCGAGTTCACCCATGATCTGTTTCTCCATAAAATATCTGAAAGAGAAAACAATAAATAAATAGAACCAGAGCAAATTTCCTGCAACACTTGATTGTTCAACACTTACTCAAAAAACGAAGGATCATGCTGGTCACCATATATCATAAGTTCCGCAATTGATCTCAATGCTTCAATCACGAAATCCTATATGACAAACATCAGCATCAATGGAACAACTGTGAAGTCTAAATGAATTCAAAAATATTAGGATGGCCAGCTAAACCTGCCTTGTTAGCTTCATTGACAACATGAACCTTTTGTAGATGGTCTGTTAGATACCTGAAGAAAAAGATCTGACTTATCACAAAATATGAAACAATTATGATCATGATGAAGAATTTGAAATTCTAGCACATAACATGAATACAGAATCAAATTGCAAGAACTTTTTTACATCAATCACATTGAGGAGGGAAGAGTAGAAAGGTAATGGGATCTTAGTGTCTGAAAAATTGAAATTGACCATAGCAACATAGGATCTATTTTGATATTTTTGGCAGTGGATTGTCTTCTTCAACAAACAATTTCAACACTGACAAAATACGCAATCAAATGCACAAACCAAAAGATAAGAAGAATATACAAAACCAAGATTAATTTTTTGTTCTAATAAGCTCATAAAAGGGTATTAGCTATTTGAGTTTATGTGCTATGTACAGACTGCTGTTGCTGATTAACAATAAAATGGGCATAATAAAGCCAGAATTTTTATGCCCAGGTAAAGATTATTGCAGATGAAAAGTACACAGTTACATCATGTACACTTCATATGTGTTTAGTTTTTATATAATCCCTTGGCCTCAATTTGTTTTTGTACACAGGAGATACATTTCAGAATAAATATTTGTGAATTGAAGAAATCAAACTGGTAGCTACTGCAACACTTTAACTCCCTACCACTACTACACTCATGAAGCAAAAGAGTTTTGAGTGATAGCATGGATGTGTGGTCACTTATCAACTTCTTTCTTTCGGTAAGAAGTAAGATCCTCTTCCATTTGTATTGAATGGAAAATTACTAGTGAAATACACTTAATCTTATCTCTGGGGTTTCATAGTCGCTAGGCGACTTTTGCTGCATCTGCTTTGGGTCATGTTTAATAAATTAAGTGGAGCTTCTGTAATCCTCTTCTAGTTGGGGGGGCTTAATGCAACGATAGCAGCTCTCGTGCATATTCTTTGAGGGAAAAAAAAATCCGGGCGAGCAACCGCGTGGATCTACGGGCGGTTCCATCCTGTGACCTAATTCGACCACGTCGGCCGTCGAGCCAGGGAGGGCTGCGCAAGGGGTACGTGACTCACCGGAGCTCCTCAAGGGAGAAGCGGTTCCTAGTGCGCCAGAAAAGCCACATGTTGGTGAATCCGCTCCGCCCCGCGGCGATGGCGCGGGCGCGGGGAGCGAGCTCGGACTCGGAGCCACAGGAACCGGGGCGCGTGGCGGAAGGCCAGTCACGAACGTGCGCGGGCCACCACGCTGCCGCCGCCGGAGGGGGAGCGCATCGCATCCGCGGCGGCGGCGATCGCCGGCGGCCGGTGCGCGGGGATCGCGGGTCGAGGGGGCTCGCCTTTTGCCTTTTCGATTCTCCTTTTCTTTTTTTTCCTCACCTTCTCCTTGCTGTTGGGTTTCGCACTTCCGCAGTCCTTTTCGGCGCCCGGCTGCTTCGTTGGGTCGTCACGTCATTTGGCCGCGCCTGCGTGGATGCGGTGCAGCAACTGTAGTGGAGGGCTGGAGGCAAGACGGATTCTACCGGTTTATGTTCGGCAACATATGGCGACGGTGTTGATAGCAACGGACTGATATGCGATGTTATATTAGTTTCTTCCTTAAAATTTACTCTTTGTTCCATCAAATATTTAGCATATATATAAAATATTAAATATAGACTAAAAAATAATTAATTATACAGTTTATGACTAATTTATGAGACGAATTCTTTAAACTTAATTAATCAATGATTTGATAATATGCTACGATACACACATGTGTTAATGACGGATTAATTAGCCTTAATAAATTCGTCTCGTGGATTACTGACAGATTCTGTACTTTGTTTTTTATTAGTATACGAACACCCCGTGCGATACTCCATGTAACACCCAATGTGACACCTAAAAACTTTACACCCTGAATTTAAACAAGGCCTTAGACGGTATCAAGTGACCCATATGGACACCCAAACCTAAAATTGATAATAAAAAACCTAAAATCAGCCTACAACAGGTTATCTATACGGCAGACCTATTTTAGGTTACCTGAGAGGCACAATTCAAATATGAGCATCTTCTCTTCTACAAACCCATTTGCAAAAAATATTTCTCTTTTGGGTCACGTTGTTAAAGAAAATGTTGAATGGGTATTGAAACATTTGCCTGTAGCGTTATCCAAAGGTCGAATAGGTCTTGTATTTTAGATGTTGTCGTTGAAGATAGTCTTAGGCCATGTCATATAGGTGAGCTGGCTCAAAAAATAGAGAAAACGAAAGGGAGGGGTGTTTAAATTCAGGGACTAAAGTTTAGAGTGTTATGTGGGGTGTCATATGAGGGTGTCACATCGAGTGCTCGAATAGTAATAAAAAAATAAATTACAGAAGTTCTCAGTAATCCACGAGACGAATTTATTAAACCTAATTAATCTGTCATTAGCATATGTTACTGTAGTACCACATTGTCGAATCATGGACTAAATAGTCTTAAAAAATCATCGCGCAAATTAGTCTTAATCTATGATTTAGTTTCGTAAATAGTTTATATTTAATATTCCATGCATGTGTTAAATATTCGATGTGACAGGAATAAACTTTTGTCCGAGGAAAACAAACAGGGAGATAGTTGTCTATGTTTCTAGTACGATAACATTTGTACATAACCATTTTATCTTCCCTGCTAGCCCGACCTCTGCGATCACATAGTATGTCTTATCTGGATATTGGTTATTTTTTCTGTCTCCCCGTTTCCTGTTCGGTTTGGTACCCAAGTTCATGGCCGTGGCAAGGGGTTGTGGAGCAGAGGCGGCAATGTCTAACTCTGTTGTTGTTGCCTCTGATCTCCCTCCCTCTGTTCTGTTTTGTCCGACAAGATGTCGCGAACGTCGACGTCATCTTTTTGGAGTTTTAGGAGGGGCCTATATATACGGGAGGTCAAAGTGTTAGTAATTGTAATACGATCAAAGCGTTAGCAAAATTTGCAAACTAAGGTTTTATCCTTATCTTCTTGTTCCGGTCAAAATCCTTGTTCAACTCCTCCTCCGTTGCCTTCCTTCTGACTTCACGTGGGAAAGGATCTTCGGATCTTCGGGACTTTCATATGCCTCTTCTTCATCCTCGTCATCGTCGTCTTCATCATCATCTTCTTCTTCGTCATCGCTTCAGTAGCCTCTCCTGCTCTTCTCCCTCTTTCTCGTCGAACTGATCCTGAGTAAGCTTCTTTGCTAGACTCTTGTCTAGCTCATCGTTGAACTACTCCTAAGTAATGTGCTCTGGTTCTGGCTCTTCAAAGATTGGCCCGTGCTCAGGGCTTGGAGTTGCACTGTCTCTTATCCTCGTCATTTCACGTTTTGTTCTAATAGAACCAAGAAAGTTGACTTTAGATATGCGAGAAGATAAAAAAACATAGCAATAGATAAAAAAACGAGTAGTAGCAGTAGTGGATGCCTCAGAAACATATCAATCATTATTTGATCATGAACTTAGAGCATCATAGCTTCATAAACACAGTGAGCATGTATAATCACAGTGAGCATATAGAAAAAGATAGTAGGGGCGTCTGGTAATGATGCCAAGTTTCTCACAAGTTCATGATCATTAGCTCATATTCTAGATTTTTTTCTGGAGTTGGATAATTTTATCATTAGTAAAAGAGAGAGGAGAGGAGAGGAGATGAGAGTTGGCAAAAAAAGCAGTTGCTGCTTCCCAAACATAGAGGAGAGAAAAAAGGCGGCCAAAAAAGTAGTTGTTGCTTCCCAAATATGGTAGTAGTAGAGGAGATGAGAGGAGGTCAAACAAAAATAGTGAGCATATATAAAGACAGTGGGCATATATAAAAACACAGTAAAAGGAGGCTCTACAAAGTAGTAGTTGAAGTAGTAGAAGTAGGAGTAGTAGGAAAGGACAAGAGAGTAGTACTAATAGAAGTAAGAGTAGGAGAGGAGAGGAGAGTAGTAGTAGAATTAGTAGGAGTAGTAGGAAAGGAGATGAGAGTAATAGTAGAAGTAGGAATAGTAGGAGAGAAGAGAGAAGAGTAGTAGTAGAAGTATAGAAGTAATAGTAGGAGAGGACAGGAGAGTAGTAGAAGCAGTAGAAGTAGGAGAGGAGTCTCTACAAAGCAGTTGCTACCTGTTAAAAGGAGCATATATAAATATAGTGGGCATATACAATCACAGTGGGCATATATAAACACAATGGGCATATATAAAAACAGGGAACATATATAATCATAGTGAGCATATATAAATACTGTAGGCATATATAAAAACAGTGGGCATATACAATCATAGGCATATATAAAAACAGTGAGTATATATAATCACAGTGAGCATAAATAAACACAGTGGACATATATAAAAGCACGGGACATATATAAAAATAGGGGGCATATATAATCACAGTGAGCATGTCTAAAAACAATGGGCATATGTAAAAACAGTGAGCATGTCTAAAAACAATGGTCATATATAAAAACCGTGAGCACGTCCAAAAACAATGGGCATATATAAAAACAGTGAGCATGTATAATCATAGTGAGCATGTCTAAAAACAATGGGCATATATAAAAACAGTGAGCATGTCTAAAAACAGTGGGTATATATAAAAACAGTGAGCATGTCTAAAAACAATGGGTATATATAAAAATAGTGAGCATGTCTAAAAACAATGGACATATATAAAAACAGTGAGCATGTCTAAAAACAATGGACAATCATGCTACTAGTGTTGAGCTTAAGAAAAAATTCATGTTCTTTAACAACACAAACATGGTGCCCAATAAAAATCATTCATACCATCCAATGGCTATTATCTCTATTTCACAAGGCTACCAGCACACACATTCACCAAATGCAAGCACTGCATGAACTCAGTAGAGTAGGAATAGAGAAGGGGTGAGGGATACCTGTAGAAGACCTAGCCAAAGAAAGGGGTGGCGGGCACGGCGAAAGGTCCTAATGTCTAAAGGGGGGTGAATAGCCTATTAAAAAAATTCTACAACAACACTAAGGCAAGTGATTAGTAAATAAGATGGCAAAGCGAATTTTGCGCTAGCACTATACTTGTGTTGCAAGCCATCTACCTAATTCTAAAATCTATGATCTCTAGTATATCACAACAAGGCTAAGTCACTAATTTACACCTAGATGAGCAAGCTAGCAAGAGAACTACAACTAAGAGCTACACTAACTAGTTTCAACTACCACAAGCTCTACACAAGTAAAGGCACAATGTATTATAAGAGAGTAGTAGAGATGTATACTGCCGTGGCAAGTGATCAATCAATGAATACTAAGGAGACAATCAAGACACAATGATTTTTCCTCCGAGGTTCACTTGCTTACCGGCAAGCTAGTCCCCGTTGTGACGATTCACTCACTTGGAGGTTCACGCGCTAATTGGCATCACACACCAAACCCGCAACCGAGTGCCGCACAACCAACACAAGATGAGGATCCACAAGCCACTCGTAATCCACTAGAGTTGCCTTTGTCACTCCATCGGGGAAGGCACAAGAACCCCTCACAATCATAATAATCGAAGCCGAAGATAATTACCTTCCTCCGCTCGATGATCCACCAATCATCGGGCCGTCTAGGGGTCAGCAAACATCAAGAGTAAAAAGAACTCCACTAGTCCAAATCGCCCAACTAGTGCCACAAGATGGTAGAATACTAAGCAATGCACTAGAGGCTCTCCAATCTCACTCAAGATGATGAAATCAAGTGTGCAAGTGAGTGGAGTGGTGTGCTCAGCTCTCAAAGGGTGTTTTGTAGCTATTAGAGGTGCCAAGAGAGTGGCCAAGGCCGTCTACTAGCTCTATTTATAAGCCACAAGCAAATAGAGCCGTTACCCTTTTGAGTCAGCTTCTGCGGGGTCACCGGACATGTCGGTGTGGCACCAGACATGGGGTGGCGGTGCCCCTCCAACGGTCGAATCCAACGACTAGTTTGACTGTCAGTGGTCATCGAACTGGTGGCAGCGGCACCGGACAGGGAGTGGCGGTGACACCCTGGCCAACACCCCAAAATCTATGCTCTCTAGAAAAATGGGGTGGTGCATTGCCTAGGGGTGCCCAACTCCAGTTCACCCGCTCTCTGTTGAAAAGGGGCGGTGCCACTAGATAGGGTGACGGTGCCCACGGTGGTGCACCGTTGCGCCTATGGCGGTGCACACCGCCACTTCCGGTGCCAGGCCCAGCACCAACCCTTCTCGACCACATCCAGGTGGGCACCGCCACAGGGGTGACGGTGCCCCCCCCCAGAGCACCTCCTTCTCGGCCTCCTTTGTCGGTCACCGCCACA